TCTGTTCTGCTACTGCCACTCTGATGTCATATTACAAGCTCTTAACTGTAAAAAAGAGTACCCCCCCCCCTGTCGTCTTTCTCTGTACATTCCTGTGGGTCATAAAAAGAAAAGTGCATAAAATGTCTTTTCGCTGTGAATGTCAAACTGTAAGCAGTCAGTCGGGCGACAGGTAAGAAGTATCTAGACGGAGCTCTCCCAGTGGCAGCTGCTCTGCAGAACCCTCTCTAGGTATCCCTGCTCTCTCTATCACTCCTCTTCCTACACCCAGCCCCCGTACCCGTTTCAGCATAAAATTGTCCATTTTTACGAGCCGCTTTGGCGGCACAGATTTATTGGCTTCCTCGCATTACTCGATTTTATTGTTGTTGCTCTCTTCTCGCATTGCATTTGCATATTCAGTGGAGCACCAACAGTAGAAGTAACCACCCTCCTACCCCCTCTCACGTCTCTAAAGTTCGTTGAGTTTTATGCCAAATTCGAAGGTTAGCCAAAATCACAAAAAATTCGTATTCTTTCTTAACTTCTTTGTCCGCGTTGCGTTTCGTCTCTCGGATGATTTTTTTCCCCCTTTGATAGTTTGCTCAACTTGACTCAAGTTTCGTTTGTCGACGGTTGAGTTTTATGCCTCACTTTGAAGTGGAGAACATTATGCCACGAATGGGTAACATTTTTGTGGATCTCTCTCGCACTTCAGCCTTCGATGCTAATGACAACAGAGACGATGCTGTCAGAACTCTAAATGACAAATTGCTCTTGCGCTGTGGTTGGTGAGTTGGTGAGTTGGGGGAGTTGCTCTGTGGGGATTGAGCATCGTGAGGCGGCATAAATTGTGGCAGCACATTTTGTGGGACTGACAGCGAAAAGTAAATATATTTCCCCCAAACCAAAATCATATTTTAACTTTAGTTTTCCTTTTGACGAGTGGATGGATGAACTCTGGCTGTCAGCGCTGGGTCCAATCGGACAATTGACCCACATTTGTCAGCAGTAAAGTTCCAGGTTTTCGGTGCAGTGAGGGTTGCCTTGATGTACATAAAAATCCACTTTCTGAATTAGAAGCATCTAAATTTGCTAGGACACGACTAAACCAGACCAAATTGGGAATCTGCAGAAGTCTGAACAGCCTTTGTGCTGCCTTGTCTGTGCCTTCACTCACTCGAATATCGGAGAACAAAGATGTGGAAGTACTGGCTGGGCTGCCTTCCCTTTCGTTGGGTGCTCTCTCTTTTGGAAATTAATTTTCCTATCTGGTAGAACATTTGTTTGTAGATTCCAGCGACATGAATTTCCACACACACACACACACAGTTTTGAGTCCAGAGGCTTCAAGTTGCTCCTCCACTATCAATGTCAGTTTATCATTCACTTAATGGTCTTACACTCTCCACCCATAAAACTCTGGCTGGTATTTTTCCCCTCCCACCTACTTCCACTTCCGCTCGCCTGCATTTGCTTTCCTCATTTAATATAATTTGTTGCAAGTTTTGCGGCATGTGGCATGTGGCAAGGTCTGTTACATGTGCCCAGCCTCTGTGCCATTGCTGCACTAATTGAAACGTAATTATATCATTTGGGCACGAGGCACTCAGTCAGTCAGTCCGTCAGTCAGTCAATGTCTCACACTATCAGCGAGGCACTAATTGCAATTTGCACAGTTTGAAACTCTTTGGGTTGCACAGTTTGTGAGTCCTAATGGGATATCCATATCCCCATCAGGAGTAGGGAAGGACTTAATGTCATAATGGGAGCTAGCTGAGATTCTTAAAGGTATTCCCTTCCGTAGTGTTGCAGTTTTACTGATAGAATTTGAGCCTCAATCATCTTAGTAGAGTAGAAGGACTAAAATTAAATGAAATTATAAAGAAAGGTCATTATATTCCTTCAGTTAAAAGACTCGCTAAAAATTCTGCAACTCCAGACTAGCACTTGGATTTATAGTATCATCAAATCGCTTAAAGTTTCAGTTAGAACACAGTTTGAGCTTCCATCAAGCGTCTTCAGTTTAAGGGTCACTTAATCAGGCAACTAAAGTTTGAGGGTAATTCAATTTGCTGCAGCCAAGAATCCCTGAGGCGTCCAAAGTTTAAGGATTCTTCCCTAGTCCTCTTTTATAGCTGCAGACTTAACAATTTTGTGCATCATTTTTGTTGCCCTCTCTCTGACGCCCTTCGAGTAGCGCATCTTACGCTGAATAACCCTCTCGTTACCTACAGGTGTAGAGCTTATGAGTCATCTGAAGTTGCTCAGTGTTATGTCACTTAAAAGCTGTTGATTATCTAATACTTGTGTGTGAGAATAAGTCATTCATCGGCAGTTTAAGGTTCAGTTAATGGACCCTTTATTACGTTGTTGAGTAACTGAATCAGTTACAGCTGGAAAATCACGTTTTTCTGAGTCATTTAAAGTTTTAGACGTAAAAAAGAATGTAACAAGAGAGTCAAAAGATGCAGATTTTTAGTAAATTAATAAGTAAGAAACTTTGACTTCTTACTGAATCAATGCTGCTAACCATTCTCCCACTGGGTATGCCCTTGCCATGGAAATTGTTACAGTCTAAAAATCTATAGAATAAATACTGTGGAATAATCTAAAGTTTAAGCACCTGCGAGCACTCAGAAACCTACACCCACCCACCCAAACAGATACACCTGCTCATACATTATTTTAAAGATCAAATATCCTCACTTTATGGCCTGCAATTGGTCGTCGATAGCATTAAGCCTTCGTCCTCGCACTGCCCCAAAAAATAATATTTATCCATTTTTATCCGCATTTTTATGCAACTCTCATCAAACGGAAGTTGTTTCCCGATTTTCCTTCTACATGTGCATACAAATAACATTTTTTCCACAAATTTTTTTTTGGCTTTTTTTGTTGGCATTTGCCAAAGAAGTGAAATTTATTCGTTTGCATTTTTCGGGGCTTAAAGTTCTTCCTGTGTGTGTTGGGTATTCCATGACCGTTTATATAAATCTACCAGCATATAGATAGATATTTTTTGGCAATTTAATTGAAATGTCAGGCACGTGGTCAGGAGAGAGATTCACCACACACACACACACACACACACACAGAGAGAAAGCAGGAGAGAGCAAGCCAGAGTTTGACCCTCGAGTTGGTCCGCTGCCTAATCCCGTCGAGCTTTTGTGGTTGTCGCACATTTCCGGCTTAAAGTGGCAACGGCAACGGCAACAACATTGCCACTCTGGTAGCTCTGTTCTTGTTGTTTTTGTTGTTGGTGGTGTCGTCTGCCACTTCCGTTTGCGACGCGTACACGTAATTGATTTTCCCGCCCCGCCTCCTGTTTGCTTCGATATTCAAGCGCAAAATCTCTGCGCCCGAGAGCACTGCAAAGCAAATCAAAACAAGAACAAATACGTTTGGCATGAGTGCACATACTATTTCGATTTTAGGATACCCATTACTCGTTAGTACCCATACTGAGTGGAAAAAATTTCTAGTGTAACTGCAATAAAAATAAAACTATTAAAGCAAAAGGCACAGGTCACATTAAGTTAACATTTATTCATTAAGTTCAACCAAATGTGAGCCAAATATCTTTGAAAATTGTGAATATCACAGAGTTTTATACATTGACACCCCCTTAAATTTTCTCTTACCATTTTTATTCCTGTCGCTCTTCTAAGTTGTCTTTGACTACCGATCACAATTTTTAAGGGGACTATTAACTGGTTCATATATGTATGTCACTTCAGATATACAATCTACCCTTACATTCTAAGGGTACTGGGTATCCAAAGAACAACAAGAACATTGTTTGCGTGACAAATGAGAATTTCACTTGATTTGATTTGCTTCGTGCGAATTCTATAGAATAATAGGACGACTGCACATACTCGTAGATGCTATAGTATACTCAAACAAACGTACAATTTATGTACATACCTACACCTCATACCGTTGTATTATTTTTTGGCAAAACTAGCGGTAAAATAGCCGTGACCGTGAACTTTGTTGGTGCCCCATAAATATATCAGCAAACATGCAAAAAAAACAGCACACACATACAAAATACCTTAACTAAAAAGATTGTATCAAATGGTGTTTGTTATTTAATAAAGCTTTGTTCGGGTGCAGCTTTGCTGTGATTCTCTTTCTTTAGAAGATAATCTTCACTGATTTCTTTATATCTCTTTCTTCTAATTAAATTCTTAAAGCTGAATAATTGAATTCGGAACTGTGACATTTGCATAGTCCCCCCTCCCCAACTGAAAGCGAAGTCTATTAACATACAATTTATTGACACGAATTCCATTTCGTTTCGAAAAATCTCTCTGGAAGATATACTCGTAGCTACCTTGGGGTCTGCCATATATCAGGCATTGTGTAAGCCACACTTAAGCCGCAATATTGTCCAAATAATCACTGGGTGGCACCACAAATAAATGCCATCTCCCATCGAAGTAAAATAAATAAAATGAAAAAAAAAGAGGGAAAACAATTTCGCATAAATTTCATCCAGTGCCAAAGAGAGTGGGAAAAATTGCCTTTAAATTGCTCGAAAATGTTTTCTTAATACATTGCGCAATTTCGTACTGAAATCAGGGCGTGGCAGGATGTCCTGCCCCTCTACTATAACGAAATAAGGAAGTGGCACTGGGGATGCTGGTGGAAAAGGAAGGAAGAAAACTAAACGGAATAATGCAAAATGACAAAATAACTTAAAGCGGCAATAAATTCTCCAGCTCAAGGACATGCTTAAGGCAATGCTTGTTCGTGTTCCGCTCCTGGCTGCCGCAAGCTCGAACTCGAATCAGAGCCAAGAAGAAGACCAGGAACAGCCACAACAAGAAAACTGTCAACACGTTTTGGCCATTTCTGTCTACGTTACGTTAGCCTCAAACAAGAAAAAAACAACAACAAAAATGCAAACAGATATACAGTAGTAGACGGCGAGTTTTTTACGCGCGTTTTGGTTAGCATTTTTTGTCTGGGCTTAGAAATTTTTAAATAAAAAAGGGTAGGTGGGGAATGAATTTATGAGTGGGGCTTTATTTGGGTGATGCGTATATTGGCCATATTTTGGCATATATATTTGGTTAGAACAGATTGAAGAGAGTTCAAGTTTGGGGACTTCAATTCAAATAAATACAGATTTACAGATTTACATATTTAGGTTTTGCTTGGGATTAGTGAACCTTTGGCTCCATATTTCACAAATTAGCTGGATTCTGTTTTCAAATTCAGAAGTTCATCATTGTGTCTATGTATCTATGTATAATTATCCATGTTTTCTATCCTCTTGGAAGCATAATTTATATATACAAGTAGGTACATATATGCATACATATATCCTTTATCTTTCCCTTTATCTTTGTTCATTTCTGTATCTCTTCCTGTCTTCCCTCAGTGTCCGCCTCCTCTTCCCTGTCACTGGTCCTGTCCTGTACATCTTACCTTGTCCTTGTTCTGTGGCTTGTTCTGGGTTCGCCTTCTTGTTTGTTCGCCTGGCGCGTCCTTCGTGGCGTATGCGTAATATGTTTTTGTTTGCCACAGGCCTCTGTCTCTGCGCCGCCTCCTCCTGGGCCTATACCGGGGCCAGACACACGCCAGACAATACATCGGGTATACGGGTATACGTATTTTTATATATATACATACATACATATATTTACTGCTGTGCGTGTTGACCTTGCGAATAGCCAGCGGCTATTGAGTGTCTCCTCAGACGCCCCCTGTCGCACGTAGATGACACCAACAGCAGAGCAGCAGCAGTAACAGCAGTAACAGCAGTAGCAGTGGCACCGGCAATAATATAAAACAACGACAAAAACTCTTTTAATTGCTTTTTAATGAGTTGTTGCCGTCATTGCCATGCGGTTGAGGGCGTTGATGGGGCGGCACTTTATATCCAGCAAGAGGCGTTCCCCGTCGTCGCAGGCTATAAAAGATACAAAATATATATCTATCGAACAATATCGGTTGACAGCATTAAAACAGAGCAGTATATAAATTACAAAAAATTGGGGGAGTCCTTAGCGGTTGCTTGCACTGAGAGAAACATAAAAGAAGCCTGAATTTTGAAATACAGAAAAAGTCAAAAAGATTGTGACTTGGGTGTTCTTTATAGGCTCATTAAGTCTGACCCAGATCGAACGATGTAGAAAGAAAGAAAGATATTAATTAGAATTTTTAGGTAAAATATTTTTGACTTTTAGAAAGTTTTTTACTTGTGTTGAGTGTACTTTTCACGATTGCCTGCCCTTTGAATTTAATGTGTATGTATTTTGTATGCATTTTTATTTATTTCGTCGCATTTTTCTTTTGCTCTAATGAAAAAAATTTGCAGCAGCACCAGCGACAGCAGCGGAGCAGCTTTCATTTGATTTGTATTGCCTTTTGTTGCTGGTGTTGTTGGCCAGGGCCACTTATGGACTCCAAAAGCTTCTGGCGAGAGAGTGGGTTCAACAACCGAGAAATGCAGCCAACAGGACAAAGAGAGAGAGAGAGAGACAGAGAGAGAGAGAGAGAGACACTACTAACCGGAGAGAGAGCACCCGAAAAAAAGAACCAAAACGTACATAAAGGGAAGATTAGAGTCGAGGGCTTAGGTACCCTTGCGTTCCATTTTTTGCCATGGATATATGATCTCAATCTGATCTACAAATGAATCTGGACTATTAAAAATAAAAAGTTGTTGAATTGGGTTGCTATAGTTTTAGAAACAGTGAAGCCTAAAGACAGGCTTTGACAGGCTTTGTTCCTCTGACAGCTATACGATATGGGAATCTAGTTTTGGTAATATTTACATGAGCTAGACAACTGATATATAAATATGCATACAGTAGATATTTCCAATGTTCTGATAGCTTTTTTTTACCAATGGTTCCTTAAAAAGCCTCGACTATGCTCGATGTTGAGAGTTTCGACTCATACTGAGACAAACTCTGTTGAATTTAATAGCCAAATATCTTCAATATGTTCACTGAGGAACATGGCTATTCTCTTCTGCGTTGCAATCGTCTAAATCGTAATATTCTCTCTGAAAGGGTATCAGAACGAAACGAAAGATGGGGAAAGGGGTGAGGAAAAAGCAAATGCAAAAAATTGGCATCAAACAACAGAAACTTACTTTTAGACAAGGGATGTGGTGGTGGTGGTGCTGGAGGGGCATAGGAGAGTGGAGCACTGGGTGGTGGCTGGGGGGCACGGGCACACATGCAATGCGCATTAAAATTGTAACTGTAACGTTTTTTGTATGACCATCCCGCTAGCGCTATCTCGCTCGCGCCACAGTCTGGCCCCGTCTGCTGGCCTCGAGGCCCACTTCAGTTGTCTCACTCTCCCTCTCGCCCTTTATCTTTATGTCTGTCTCTGTTTCTGTCCACCTTCCTGCCCTCCCTTCCCTGCTTCTAGCCCCCTCTGGCCAAGTTAAGTGCCATTCATGTGATTCTCTTCTGCTTCTTCAATTTTTTTTATCTTCTCTCCTTTTTGATCCTAAACTTTTTTTTTGTTGCTCTTGTTTGCTACTCTGCTGATTTTTTGTCCTTTTTGATTTTTTGTTTCCACTTTTTTTTGTTTCTTCATTTTTTATTTGCTGTTTTTTCTTCTTTGTACTGTTTTTTGAGGGTTTCATTTATTAAACTATTTTATAGTATGCACAGAAGATGAACAGTGCGTTTCATAACCATAAGGTTGATTACACAAAGTCATTAGGAAAAAGGACATTAAACGTTTTAAGTTTACTTTTAAATATGAGATGACTGTTATATTCTTTATTCTACGAAAAACTTTAGTTTCGATTGAACTTTATCAACTTTCAGCCCGTCTTGCTGTCTTAAACCTATAAAACGCACTGTCTCGCCTGCTCCTGTTCCAGCATTTGTATCTGTAGCTGCAACTGTTATATTGATTTCGCCATTGTTTGTTGTATTTCCCTGTGCCGCTTTATTTCTCCTTGTTTGGGGGGCACGCTATGATTGTTGTAATTGCTCTGGCCTCCCCCCACAATAGGGCTCGATTCCGTTCGATTGGATGCCATTCGATTGCCCGATTTCGACTGTGGGTGCGAGTCCGAGTTCCAATCCCAATTCCAGTCATATAAATTGCCAACAGTTTCGGTGACCATTTTTTTCATTTTCCCCGCTGGTTTCTTTCTTTTTCTCTCTTTTGTTTGTTGGCCATTTGTGTGTGACTTTTGTGGTCGAAAGAGGATTTTAGCGGTTAATGTGCTCTGTTCTGTTGGTGGGTCAGTGGGTGGTTGGATTGCTGCTGAGCTGGTGCTGGCGCTATGCTGTGGTTGAAATTCGGAGGTCAATTGTTCTGCCGGGGAAAGGGTTGGCAGGGTCAGCCAAATGGAGCTCACTGGCAATGCTTGCTAAGTAAACCAATTTGTTTAAAGATAAATATCCAAGTATACTTTTATTATATTTCGCTTTTCAATGTGAAAGGTTGCTACTAAATGATGATGTCCAGGGGTTTTATTGACTATTGAAGGTTGATTGTAATTGAAACGTGATTAGAAATTGATTAGGCGGATAATTCTGGGAATTATGGGGGGTACGTTTTATCTTTTGTGGACTTTATATAGTCCAAGATATTTTGTAATTGTTTTTTTTTTTAATTTCCGACGTAACATTTATGTAAGCGATAATTTTAAAGTGGATTAAAACATTTAATAAATTTAATAGTCACAATTTCCTGTGATCTTAAAAGATACTACTACAAACAATTGATTCTATTATTGCAATTATGGAACTCAAACACAGTCATCATCATTTTCTCTTTGCGCTCCAATGACACGTGCCTCGCATTAAATTAATTTGAGATCATAATTTTTTGTAGTTCCCCCTTACCAAAAACGTGCAAAAAAGAAGCCACAAAGTGCTAGCTTCCATAAATCAAAAAAACAACAACAAAAATAAATACAGATAAAAGAAACATTTCATGTGGCAAAGGATTTATTGGGAGAATCATAAGACTCATTGTAACATATACTCGTATATGGTACTGATGTCTGGAGTCGTAAAGCATCAAATGACTCTGGCACTTACCACGAAAAAAACCCCCCTAAATAAATGGAGACACAAAAACTGTGCCACGCCCAGCTGCCTCGTAAAACAAAAGCCAACAAAAAAGAAGCCACAAAATGTGTCGAGGCTTGTCCTAATAATATGTATATATGTATAGATGAATATATGTTCATGTACATTCAACGACATCACATCAAATCCATATGTTGTCTGGAAAGAACAGCAACAAAATATTTATAAATTTGTTTTCATATAAAATTTTGTCGTTAGAGCGTTTTTGCCTTGCGGCTGATTTGGTAAAAACAAAAATGTTTCGCTGTTTCTCAATCTGGTTCATAGATTTTTGAGCTTCTACAAAATCCCATGGCCCCAGCCACAATCTCATTCCCCGAATTATTTCCTGGAATTTTTGTATTATTTGCCGCACATGCGGAACATGCAACACATCCATAATTGCTGAAAAACTAAATTATGCAATTAATTTGGTAGTCCAACCCCAAACCATTGGCCGCAAAAGCTAAAAGGCCGGCCTTTAATGTAATATAATGGATATACATACAAACACACATATGTACATATATGTATATAAATTTAAACAGACGCGTAGTCTGAAAAAACATTGAGAACAGGAACGATATAAAGTTTTAAGAATCCAATTTAAGGCTCCAAAGTCGTTGGTAAAATATTTTAATATTTTAATTGCAATTTTGAGTGAGTGAAGCCCCCTCCTGTATGAGACGCCACTGCGTTGATTTGTGGTATTTAAAAATGTATTCATATAACCATGAAATATTCAGGAAATTTACGATATGTGTGTATGCATTATCCCTTGCTGACCAAGCACCACCGAGCGGCGTTATGTTTGCTTTTATTATTTAAGAATTTCGTATTGAATTCAGTTGTGGCTTAATTAAATTGTGAATTTTGTAACGATCCAAATGTGAAACGTACAGAATATGCCATGGGTTTGCTTAATGAAAAGTGTATTGCCATAGATACTTTGGAATTTGTAGAGCTGCCGTCTGGGAGAAATGAATTGTTCATTTTATTTTCTTTCCAGTAAAACGTTTCTTTTTCGCCAACTTCTCAAACAAATGTAAAATTCGATCTTTTTCTCTGCAATAAATATGAGATATATTCCATGGAAATGTATCAGATAAATATCCAATTGATTTCTTTTCTTTCCAATAACTCTTCACCCGCTCTCTCCTTTTTTCTCAAGAAAAATAATGTACAATTTTTTCGTATTCTCTTGAAACAAATAAAAATACGAGTATCATGCGAATTTCCATAGCGAAATGAGCAAATATGTAATCAATTCATTCCGCTTGAAGAGTATACAGCACTCGACAGATGGCAATCAACATATTCGCTCTCTGCTTTTTTTTGTTTTGTTTTGTGTTTCAATTATATTTGTTGGAACTGGTGCTGGTTCCTGTTGAAATTGTTTGCATTTTGTGTTTAACATATGAATATCCATCCATCCATCGGAAAACAAAAAATGAGAGTCTGAATTTCATATGAATACTCGTATATTGTATATCCATTTAGCCGTGTATCCCCAAATGAGGTTTATGAATTAATAATATGTTCGCAATCATCGAAGTGCAGTCAATGATGCATTAAAAGCTTTATGTTGTGTGCAAGCCATTAAAATGATGCTCTAAGTTGTGTAAGAGCCATGAAAGTTATGGTTTAACATATCTTAAGCTATGAAAATTATGATTTGCGTAATATTTAAGACAAATAAGTCTTAGCCATGCAAATTATGATTTAAGCCCTCAAATATATAGTCATTCGTTCACTAATTCTTCTTTACAATCTTTTCTCCTTGCAGGTAAGCAACAATCAAAGATGATTACGTATACGAACCGTTTCGGCGTGAAGTGTAAGTGCAAGTGACAACAAGTTCCATTTCAATTTCAATTAAGCTCCTAAGCGAACACCCCCAACATTGTGGATATTTGCTTGTGTGTGTGTGTATGTGTGTATATATTTGTGTAAGCAACTGACCGTGCAACAAGGTCAGACATAAAAGTTTCAGTTTTATTTCGCCTCGTTTTTCCTCCTTCTGCAGTTATGCAATCTTTGGAGGATTTGCTCCCCCATGCCAAAGGCAGGAAGTACATCTTTTATTATTATTTTTGGTCTTGGCAAGGAATACCAAATCCTGCAGTTGCCACACCTCCTCCGCAAATCCGCAGACCAGACCCCGTTTTGCTCTTTTTATGGCCACGTGCGAAAATGCGGCAAAAGTTTTACGAGGTCAGGGTGAAGCTGTGCTCAGAGCTCTGCTCCTTACGTCCACTTTGCCAAGATGAAGATGCTGCTGATGATGATGTCACTTGAGTGAAATAATTTGATATAGCAAAATGAGGCAGAGTGGGAGGATTGTTGGATTGGGGTTTGGTGGAATGGAAATTTGCATAGAAATTCAGCAAACTGCAAACTGACAAAACTCTTTCAAGTGTTTGGCACTTGTTGACTGCCAGCGAAAGATCTGCAAAGAGCCAAAATCCAAGACAACGTCAACAACTTTGGCATGTCCACGCCCTAACCATTTTGCTTCGCCGCCCCAAAGTCACATGCAAAATGTCTTATATTGTCGACTGTCTTTTCGGGTCTTTCACAGACTCTGTCTGACTGTCGGAGTGGAGTTGTGGAGCTGGAGCCAGTGCTGGAGTGGAATTGAACTCGGGTCTGGCCACGCTCAATTCAATTCAATTCAATTAAAAGCAAGCACACGCCGCACCCAAAAAGCAAGAGACAACGACTCAAAGACTGGGAAGTTGTATTGGGTTGGGTTGGGGCAAGTCGATCGAAGCGACAACTTTGATGCTCTACTTTGGCTCCAAATGGTGGAGTTACTCCTTGCCCTTTTGTGCTAGAAAAATCTGAAGAACATTTCAAGTGATGCTTAATGAAAATCTCAAGGGTTTATTGAAAGCACAAACATTGCAGTTGGCATTAAATTGTAAATATTTTCTTATTTACTCTTTATATGACTTTTAATTTCGATAAATGCATCTTAAAGCCCGCAAAACACTTTCTTATGTGCATAAGTTATATGGTTTTCAACCTCCCCAAGAGGAGGCCACCGTCTTTCGATTCTCTTACCTTCTCATTTTCGAGACCCCAGCAGCCTCTCAACTCTGCGAAGTCATATGATAGACAATCTGATTAAAAGTCGACTGCGAATTCTGCGAATCGTTATGCGATATCTACTCCCCCTTCTGCCTTTTTGATTTGTCAGAGCAAATTTCAATTGATAAATGTTTGCTTTTTTGCTTTTTTGGTTTACTACAATTTTGATCAAATTTTGTGCGAAAATTTGAGGGGCAGAGGCAGAGTGAGCGCCTCCAACCTCTTTGACATTTCATTGGGTGTGTGTTTGCTCCGCTTTTTTTTTGGGAGCAGTGGAATGGAATGAAGTGAAGTGAGTGGAGTGGGGGGTATGGAGTGTAGAGGGAGTGGCTGTGCAGCACTTGCCACAAATTATCCAGTGGTCGGCCCAGGTTGCCATTCACTTTTCCACAGTAAATGGAGGTGGTTGCCCCTAGCAAACAGAGCTCGGAAGAGGTGGGATAATGGTCGAGAGCTGGGGGCCGGCTAGCACTGGGAGGGAGTTGGGCTGGAAATGGGAGACTGGGATGCCGGTCACTTGAGGTTTTCCCCCGCCCACAGCCCCTTTGTACAGCAAGCTGTTCACTTTTCTCTTACATTGTTTGTTTTTTTTTTTTGCCAGGCACTCTTTTTGCAATTTCCCTTTGATGACTCACAAACTGCCGCTGCAACTGTTCTCAAAGGGGGGGCACAAAACCACACTCCTCTCTCAGCCCCAGCCCCTATTAACTCTCCACAGATTTTCCTCTCCCTCGCGCACTTTCTCTTTCGGCTTGTGTTCTATTTGCACAACTAAGCAGCAATTAACGCTAATTATGGAAATTTCTTTCGTTTCAACTTGACTTGCATTTGCGGTTGCACAAAGGGTGCGAATCAAGGGGCAGCCAGGGAGAGGGTCTTTAAAAAAGAAGAGGGTGCTCGGAAAGACTTTTAATACGAGTATATAAATATGTTTTATGATTATTCTGCACCGATGGAATATTGCATCGGTGAATTTAAGTGGAAAAAATTGTAATAATACTTCTACATTTTCATTCTCATAAGAGAACAGAACCATTCACTCATAATCAAAATCTGATATATCCTTTATGAATATATTAATGAAAATTTCATAGCATTTTACTACTATTTCCATCCAATGGTTTCTAAAATTACTCACCAAAGTGCAGCCTTAATTAAACATTAATTAGCTCTTCATTAAATTTACCAAATGTGTATTCAATTATGTAGTCCAACCAACTTAATTTCCCTCTTAAAGCTGTAGGCATGGAAATATCTTTGATGGACACAAATAAATAATTAATAATTCAGCACATTCGATAAGCTCACAAGTTTGATTATAATTAATTTTGTGTAGAATTTTGGCAAGGGAATTTAAGCCCTAGGGCTGGACAAAGCCGATAAGTGCGCTCCCCTGGCATTTGCTTGGGCAACTAATTTTCTTATCAATACAACTGAAATGCCAAGCAAACCAGGCAGAGGGAAAGATATATCTATGTGCACTGGGATACGTGCAGAGCAAATGGAATCTAAGACCAAATGCAAATTAAGAAAACAACTATTGTTTTTGTCACGACTCTGGTGTTTGTTTGTTTGTTTGCTTGCTTATTTATTTGCTAGTTTGTTGCTCTTTGCATATCTGTATGTGCTGCTGTTTGATATCTTTGAGATACAAATTAAAATTGAGACAGAGACCACTACCCAGGCAAAGATGCGCTATATATAATTCACTTAAATGCCGCTGCCTGCCCCTGGCTGGGTGCTGCTGGATGACTCACATCCTCAATTTACGTTCGTTTTGCTGTTTATTCTACACCATCGCTTGAGGTTATTTTCTTCATTCATAAATATGTATCTCAGGGGGCATACATATACATGAAGGGAGAGGAGAGAACAGCAGCTACCTTATCGGCAAACATGTGACGACAATGCATGTGCTCCAGATAAAGGCTGTTCCCTAATGAATTTCTGCGGAATTCCAGCTGAAACTGCGTCAGTAGGTGGCAAAACAACTTTCTGGGTCTACAAAAAATCCCCAATAAATCAAAAACCAGATGATTCATACAAATCGAATTTGGAATGCCCACAAAAAAGTCTCAGAACTCCAGTTGAATCTGGCATGTCCGGTTTGGAATAGGGTTTTATATAAAAAGAATCGAAAGTTGAGGCTGGTATGTCCGGTTTATAAAAATGTAGGGTTTTATATGAAAACAAGAGCCAAAGGGAATGTCCAGCGTTTTTTTTTTTAACAATTTGAGCTGCCTGCGGGATCCTCAGGGAATGAAGGACTTCAGACGGGCATTATACCACTGACGCATCGATTGCCTAAGGCATGTCTAAACAATATATTAAATTCCACGAAAGACTTGAAGCCAGCTCCTATCGCTTTCACAGCCCAAAACTTTAATTGGATCAGATCTTAAATCTTAAACTTTAGTTTCTATCATCAGAATCAGCCAAAATAATTTGTTGCTACTCTTTTAATACCGCTTTATAGATTGGCTATATACAAAACACTCATTTAAATAGCAAAAAAAAATGTAGAAAAGCCTTTCATTCGCTGGCATAAAAAAAAAAGTATATTTTCACACCTTCTAAAAAAACCATATATATTCCCTTATCACGATCTTTTATATGAATTTATGTGTTTATTTCCGCCTGGAGAGTCGCATTAATCTTTCACTTACTTTAATAAACCTTTTGTTTAGCGAATGAATGAAGATTCTTCATCGCTGGATGGATGATTCACACGCGGATCAACTTTTACTTTTCGGCTTTCATACGGGTTGTTGGCCGACTTTAGTTTCTTAATTAAATTCAAGTTCAAAGACCTGCTAAAGTCGGTTCACACTCCCTCTCATATGCATACCGAGTATTGTGTATTGGTGTCAAGATGTCTGAGACAGACTTCTTTCCTTCCTTCCTTCCTTCACCTCCAGCTCCACAAACTTCATAATTAACAGCATTTGAGCCCTGCTAATGAAATAATTAAAAAAATAGTTGCACTGCCGCTGGCAGGCGCACCAAAAAATTGAAAAATAAAAAACCATAAAAGTGTCACTGCTGTTGATGAAAAAAAAAAAATTGCAAAAAAAGCCAAAAAAATAAGAGGGGGAAAATTGTTTGCAGCTCTGAAATTTTTGTGGCCGAAGCGAAAAGAATGTCATGTGCGTGCCTGCATGCGAAATGTGGGGAGTAGTGGAGGGGCGTGGCAGTCACGGCATGCGAAATGTATCTATTAGATACGAGTGTGCGAGTGCATGAGAAATGCGGTTAACAGCATTGGCAGCAGACGCAGTTTTTTTTTTTTTGTTTGCCATTTACCGTTAGCCCAGGCCCAGGCCCCAACCGAAACCGCACCGAAGAGCCAGAGCCAAGCCAGGCCAACATTGAAGCTGAAGTTGAAGTTGCAGTCGAAGCCGAAGCTGAAGCCAGTCGCTGAAGTATTTGGGTCACTCGTTGCCGCTTGGCTGCCACTTGAAGTCGTCTAATGCCTCCTCCAATGGCCATGGCGAGTTTGCTTGGTTATGTGTACCCTGTACTCGAGCAGTAAAAGGGTATAATGTATTAGATAAGAGGTTTTTAGCACGCAGAAGGAAGCTTCTCAGAGGCACCAAAAGCTATTGATATGTGTAGGTAATAGTACAGGATCAATAGGACACTTCCAAGAAGCGGAGTGTCTCTAGAGTGTCGACTATAAAAATAGAGAGCTCATGTGCGAAAGAGTAATTTTTATTTGTATTGCCTAGTGGTTTTACTGAACAGACAAAGATATTATTTATATCATCTATCCAAACCCATTCATTAGTAATAATACTTTCGACTCGTTTCATCTTCTTGCAGGGAAGTATTTTATTCATCTAAAATTCTAAATAATTGTGTACATATTGCTTACATCATTATTCTAAGCACAAGGTATCCTCTAGTCGTAATCTTGCCATTGCAATAACCTTTTGGCTGATGCAAAAAGAAGACAAAAATTTCGCATTCATTTTTGCTTGGGTTTTTTTTTTGTTCCTTTTTTTTTTTTGTTTTCGGTTACTGCGATAAGCAAATGCTCTATGTGTGGGTTAATTTGAAAGTTTCAACTGTCACAAATGTTATAATTGACGGCAGCCACTTACGAACGTACGTACGTACAGTGCGAACTCAACTGTATCTGTAAATGTATCTTTGCTCTGTGGCGCTGTACGAGTACGAACATATACATATCTCTCGGATGCAGTTCAAATGTTGTTTTGTGCTCTGCTCTGCTCTGCTCGTGTTTGAATGCGCTTTGTTAAGTGCCGTTAAGTGAGGCATTGAGTGACAATGCCTCGAGATTACGCCCACACGGGAGAGGCTCTGCCATTCTGGCACTCGCACTCGCCCTGGCACGCTCTGCTATCCGCAAATGCAAAACAAAAGCCCAACTGCCGGCGAATGACTAATGTGCACTCCCGCTCTACTTTTTGCATACAAAAAATATTCTACTATCTAAAAATGTAACTGCGTATTAAATGCTAGTTGGAATGAGGCGAGAATGAGGCAAAGAATTCTTTTGTCAAAAGTTCTAGACCTGAATTGAAAAGTAAATGGCAGCGTTATTAGATTGGAACACATTAGGAAAAGATGTGACTTAACTTAAGAATTAATTTGGTTAAAATTACTGGAAGTCACTTGGAAATTCGTAGCTCAAATTTGATTTTACGATATTTCACATGCGAAAATATCACAAGAATGCAAAATCAGATTAAGATATTCCAACGTTGATTTGGAACATTGATTTCATGGTAACCACTGCAGATTTATCGTATCTTTGTTATGCCTCTATAGGTCACATATACACCAACAACCAACAACGAAAAAAAACTCCAAATCCACTTGAATATTCCGCAAGGTCATTTGCCAAATTATCCATCAACTACAGTGTGATATGGCCAAATCTTTAACGCTTTTTATGGCCCCTAAAACTGTGTGTGGGATTTTTGTGGGATATGTATAATAAGTATGCACATCCGTATAAGTATATATATATTTTTTTTTGGTAATAGGTTCGTGGGAAAGCTCAAACGGAGATCATTTGTTGTATTGTTAAAGAGGGACAACGTGACTTTGAATATTTTAGAGATTCAAAGGCAAAGAGACAGACACCAGGGAGTACGACCATATCCATAAACATTAGGACTGCAATTTATAAAATGGTATCTGAGAATCGCAAAACGAATTCCACTTTGTCTAATTATGCAGAAATACATACAGTGTATTTGTGGTGTGTGTGTGTGTGTGTGTGGCTGTGTATCTGCGAGATACATTTTTGTGTTTGAATTTTATTGAAATGTTCTAAGCCTTGAATTTTAGTCAGTTTTCGTCTTGCTATTTATATGGTTTTAATTCCATTGGGGGGCGCCTGTTTTAATTTCATTAACATTTTTCTTTGTTTCTATGGAAAACTTTATTTTTGTAGAAAATCTCTTTCTCTATTTCCATTTGATGATGAAAATCTTTGCTGCTGCTGCTGCCTGTATTGCTGGAATTTTCTCGTTTTCCGTTTTGCTAATTTCTGCGCATTTGGCTTTAGCTTTGGCATTTTCACTTTGCCATTCATGACTTGGCTCAGGCTCTGGCTTTGGCTTTGGGCTCTCGGGCTTCGGGCTTCGGGCATCAGGCTTTGGCTTTGGCTTTGGGCTGCGTGTTTATTGCATCCGTTTTGTGGCATACTTTTCGTGCCGCTGCCAATGCTGCTGCTGCTGCTGTTGCAGCTACTAAGCACGAAGCGGATATTGTCACTTTTGCAATTACAACGCGCATAACTTTGTGCAACAACAACACGCCATGGAAAATTGCCTTGGCACCAGATCAGAGCAGGGGCAGACCAGGGACCAGGGACAGAGAGCGGTGCAAACAATGAATGGAAATGGAAAATGGAGAGATAGAGAGAGAGGAGCCCAAGAAACAATGCCGAGATAAGCAAAAACAATTTCATGAAAAGATAAGGCTATATATAGAAATGAATTGAAAATAATTCAGCAATGCAGAGCCCCAGAAGCATAAAGAATGTCTAACAGTCTGGCAGAATCGGATCAAGGCAAGGCCAAAGCAAATTAAAAATTAAATTAAACAAGATTCCGGTCTGAAGGTTCAGGGAACTAAGACTAAAAATCTTTAGCTGCGTAACTTATAAGGTAATCAATATTCCAGCGGGGAGACTGAAGGATGAAGTGGGCATTAGAGTCCAGAGATTAAACATCTGCAAATTTTCGGATACTTTCCCATAGCTAAAAAAAAAGCACACACACAGTTTCTTACGATTTTTAGCGTACTTCATCCATTCGATAACAGATCAGTATACAATAGGCTTTCAATAGAAATTATAAACTTGAAAGCCGGCGCGTGATGCAAAGGTGTGGGCGACAAGGCGCGTGTCTAAAAATTTAAAACTTGAT